CTCTTTATCCTGGGTTTAGAGTCTGGTCTGGAGGTTCGATGTCTCTGTGTGCACTCCCTCCTGTTAGAGAAACACTCTGATTGTTGAACAGATGGTTCAGTCTGTACATGTCTGTCTCTTTCACTCAGAAACACGTTGTCAGATTCATGGAGTCAATCGGTTGATGTTTTGAACTGTTCCAAATGATTCCTTGTAAAGTCCCTTAACCTCCTAGGACCTGGCATCCACATATTTGGACATCACATTTTTGGTTGTCTTGACCAAAATACTACATTTTGCTCCTCAACGGCCTAATATCCACTCACAAGGACATTATACTGGCTCTATGTTATCAAAATGTAGAAGTATCCTCATATGTGGCTCTCTCGTTTTTCCTAGAAACAAAAATCAGGTAAAAACAAAAACTGGTGATTTTTTTTGGGACCCAATGAATGTTAAAACAATCAGCCCAAATATCAAAGTGAAATTAAAAATGTATGTGATGGAAGAATTTGGATCTTAGGAGGTTTAAGATGGAAGGTACAATCATTCCTGGATCGCCATCTTATTTTTATTTTTCCGCTAACTAAAACTCGCTGTGAAAAATCTGTGTCTCTCTGAAGCTCCGTTCACAACCTTTACATTTCCGTGTTCAACAAGCATGTCCTGAGCACATTAAAGTGAATGCAAATGTTTGATTTCTCTTTCTTAATGTAATTTTTCTATCTCGGCTGAATAAGTGGACATCCAATAGTACTCAGTGTATAAAATATTAAAGAGATTGAGCATCTCTCATGTTTCTGTCATTCCATAAAAACAGCTGCTTTAAAAACTGAGCCAATGAAAGGAACATGAATTTATATATTGATCAGATACATACAGCCCTGATGTAACTCTGATGATCTCCATGTGGCTTCCTGTCCTGATGGATAGGAAACATGTGAGGATGGGGAAGAATGTCTTGGAATTCCGGACCATCAGCACCGGCTTCGTTCAGGGTTTTGTTCTTTCTCTGCTCTTGTCCCTGTACACCAACTGCTGCTCCTCCAACCACCAGTCTGTCAAGCTAATTAAGTTTGCAGAGTTTGAACGTCTGGTGTCCAGTGCAGACGCAACAAAGTGGTGCTGAATGCCCGTCATAAAGAAGACCTAGAGGAGGATATAGTTCCTGAGGCTGCTGAAGAAATTAGTATTTCTAGAAAGCTATTTTAACTAATAGCTGCTCACAGACTGTATTTATGAGTGACAAACTGTGATATCTAACTCTAAAGTACATCTACAGTATGTATCAAATATATTCAGAGATGTTTGAAAGCCTCCCTCACTAGAGGGAGTGTTAGCCCAGGGCACCAAACAGGCTAGGACCGCTACTGTCCAAATGTGTACTCCAAATGCGGCGTCATTTTCTTCAAATTTGTGGTGCGGTGGCAGGTGTGGATAATTTTGCCGAAAAATATGGCAGACAGCTGAAGCGG